CAATCAATCTCACACAGATCCAGAAATATGTACGTCTGAATGAACACAAGACAGTAGAACTTTTTCAGTTCTGACATTTTTCCACAAAAATGTTTTTATAATAATTTCACCATTAATCTCATTCCGAAATACAAGCTCAATTCATCTTGTTCAAACATTTCGGTTCTGAAATCATACGTTTTTGATATTGAAAAAAAATATATGATTTCGGAAGACGATCCAATGTTCATTGACCACCTCATAACAAAAGTTATAGTCGTTAACTCGCATAAAGAGCTGTTTTAATTAATTCGTACAGTGACCCACTTGACTTTGAATTTCGTTTTTCCTTTCGAATTTTCCTATGACGGCAATGAGAAGCGTATTTATAAAGAAGAAACATAATGTGATTGAGAAAAATTATGCTTTCAGTAAAATTTGATGTTATCAAAATGCCAATGTAATTATTTGGTAAATTTCATTACATTGAAATTCCGATCATTTTCATTCAGTAATGCACATGATTTTTTAAATTGCCACTTTGAATTCGCAATGAGTAAAGCTAAATATGACTCTGGTTTCAATATATTCACTATGTATTATTTAACGCATCATGTTCGTAAAAAGTATTATGATTTGAATACTTTATTTTTTTGTTTCTTATCAATTTTTTGTTTTTTCTCTCTTTTTGTAAAAATACAAAAGATCAAATTCACTTCTATATATCTCTCATTCTTTGCACGATTGAGGAAGAAAAATTAAATGTTCAATCAATGCACACAATTAACTTTTTGTCATTCCGGCCGTGAGGCAGCGCTTCACGGACGCTCCGCGTCCGTGAATCTCTGCCTACGGCCGTCATAACAAAAAATCCTGTTCGTCATACGGCCAAAAAAGCTTTTCTAGGCTCGGCCTGCAAACTTATATTCGCCAGAAAAGTTTTTTTCGGCCTAGTGACGAAATATACTATTACGAAGATGGTTTTTAATTTTTTTTTCAATGGAAATACTTGATGATGCATTACAGTCAATTATGGCAGGGGTTTTTTAATGAAAGAAAAAACAAAAACATTCAGTTACGACATTATTATGGAATAAAGTAATTAACACAGTTTTCATCGTTGTTTAGATAACTGACTATAAATATTCATGTAAATAGATTATGATAAATTAAAAATATACAAAAATCCTTACAGTACAAAAATGGCTTTGAATACAGTATTCTAATTGGAAATGATAATTATGGAAATTAAAATATTAGTAAAAAATTAAAGCACTTGAATCAATATTTCTACATGTTTGTTCGTTCTTTTTTTTATTGCTGTTGTGTACTACGTACACATATGAACTCGAAAAAAAAATGTTACATTTAATAACGTAAAAAAAAATTTTCTTTGGTAACGGAAACAATATTAATCAGAAAATTATCTCGATCGTCAATTACAGAACACAAAACAAAAAGAATCAATTGATTGCTGTTTTATTCAATAGAATAGATCGATAGATAATAAAGCTATTTCCTTTAATTAAGTAAATTAATTAATTCAGTTCGTCATGGACATTATCATGGACATACACAAATGAGGAGAAAAATTAAAGGAATCGTTGGCACACTGATAATATTGAATAAGATATGTTTGTGTGTTTATAAAATTAATAATTGATATTTCATTCGATAGTTTTGGACGAACGGAAGATCTCGTACGAGTGATACATGAGCACCACTGCCAGAGGAAGTTTTTTTTTAAAATAAAGCTTCTTATTGAATAAAATTTGTTATCTCTTTATCCTCGCAAGCAATTGCCTATTAATTTATCATTTAAAGAATTGACATGGATTACAGTTTAATGGAATGGGTTTCCCTCTTTGTCCAAGCAGTGGCTCTCTCATTTTTCCATTTTTTAATTCTTTGTGCATTAAAATCTTAATATTATATAGACATGGATGATACCATTGTACAATCTGCCGTTATAATGTTTCATTATTTGAAAAATTTCTTTCTTGTTCACTACGTCTTTATTGATAGTCAGCGTATTTACAAGGCAAAAATCGGAGGGCCGCTACGTAGCTCATTATGTTACAATTTTTTTCATAAATAATGTTTAAAAATTCTCTCATATTTCCCCATTTAATATTCTAATTCTCCTTGTTTAATTCTCATTTCATTTTCATATTTTACTCAATTATTTTCCACACACTGTGCACTTTAACACGGAAATGATTGCTGTTCTTTATAGAAAAACAATAAACCCTATGTTTCTTTAAATTACACACATCTATACGTAAATTGACGTCGTCCATTACGCTAGGTTGGAATTATTATTGAGTAGGCTGTAGAAAGTTGAGGGAAAAAATAGAAGAGTTAAAAAGTTTTTCTGTACTGCTTCTCACGATTTCTCGTCTGGGAATTGGTATTGCATACTTTCGAAACTCGAAAACTTGAAAACCACTACAAAAAAATTTTGTCCCGGGCTGCTGCGATGGGTTTTTTTTTACTCGTGTGGCGTTGGCGTCCGAGCCGGAGGCGAAAAACCCCATCACAGCAGCTCGGAAAAATACTATAGGGGGGGGTAACATGAAGCAAAATCGATTTCTTTAAGATCTTACACCCTTAAAAAATAAAAAATAAATCCGTGTTGACCCATCCTCTTCTGTTCGATTCATAGAAGGGCGATAATCATGCTCAATCCATCATTTTTCTTTCATTACAAAATCTATACTAAAGAAAAGGAAAAAGATATTTGGCAACAGTAAAATCTCGGCAATAATAATAGTACAGAAAGCCTTTGAGTAGGCATTTCATTTGAGGCCACGAATATGTTGAATGCTGAAAGGATTGATTATGCAATAGAAACGTGGGGTGCACGTGGAAATTTATTAAAGAACTATGAATCCGCTCATCTGAATGTGTAATGAACGTTGCGGAGGGGAGTGAATACCCTTTGAGCGTCCACATCGAGGGCATATGAAAATTTTGTAATATTGAGAGGTATGAGGACGGGCATTGGGGAAGGGGAATTAATTGAACAGTGTTGTTTGGAAACAAATCATACGCATAAAATGTTTATACTCATTCCACAGGCGGGTATTCAAGTTCATACTTGATGTAATTTTCAGACGTGTAGACATACCAAAAAGGAGATTATTAATATTTACTTCCAATTCAATGCAAGTTTGAAATGTGTTTTATGCAGGGAAAGGGGGTGGAGATGGTTGTATAAGTGACATATTGTACTTGAGCCTTCAGCCAATATTTGCGACTACGTCTAATTTCTAATAATGTGAAATATCAAGTGGAAATCATTTAATTATTTCATAAAATGAGGAACAGGTCAACAATTTGCGTTATTACATGGAACATTTGGTGGTTTCAGCCGGAGGGGATTGGGACTTTCTTCCTAGACTGTTATTGAGTGGAAAGCTTAACATCCAGAAAAATATACAGTTTATATTATGCTCTCAGTCGAATTTAAAATAGATTATGCTCAGTATCAATATGATATAAGTACGTAAATGTATTGGTTTTTATAATTTTATCCATTTTCGTTTCTAGAAGTCATTATTTGCCGGATGATAATTAAATGCAAGGCGTTTGCAATTTAATTCAATTATCAAGAATTTTTTGTCCATGTTTCATTAAGATTGAGGAATTAAGGAAAAATAGGGTATAATGACTATTTGATACAAATATTGTTTCTCCCTCTGAGGGATAAAATTTGCAAAATATAAATAGGCTGTTTGAAGTTTTTTAAAATCGTTTTAGAGATGGTAAGTATCGGTACTTCATTCGAAAAAAAGACTGAATTTAATGAAATATTCTCTTCAATAGTCTTGAGGAAGATGGATGAAAATGATTTCATCAAGTTCGTTATCTCTTTCTATTCATGTGAAAAACAATGCCATCCATCGTTTAGGCAATGCTGAATTGTTTTATTACTCTTATATGATAAAATATTCATATCTACACACAAGTGCACATCAGTCATCCAAATTAATTCTCTATCGATTTGTTAATAATTGAATTTCGATAAACACTGTTGTACTCGTTGATTAATATAGTAGTGGTAAAATGTAACAAGTGACAACTCACATTTTCAGTGAGTTCCACTTCGCCTTTTTTATGTATTCATTTCGTAAACGGTTGAGGCAGGGTAACATTGTCAACGATATTTTTCATGTAGCATTGTAGAAACAATGAAAAGGTCATTAAAATTTCCTTCTAATCTTTCTCATCTTATTGTGCTCCAGATTTGACTCATTACATTTTACACACGGTAGCAGGGAAAAAATGATCATAATTCAAAGAAATTGAAAAGTATTAAAAAATGTTATCGATGCAGCAAATTACATCGATAGTATCCGACCAATAATGAATACTAATTTATATAATTTAATTAATAATTGACAGATAACCAATTGAGTTATACAGGATGACCCACGGCTTTATGAAGGCGTAAAATTTGTTCTAATAGTCAAAACTTAGATAAACTTTCTAATTTCAACATCACCGCTGATCATCCCCATCATTGATTGTTTATTACTTTTTTCTCAATACCACTTCTTTCTCTCAGTATACTTTTTTCACCTACACAATTTTAATTAATTAGAAACATTACTTTAAAAATTATGTATGATGGGTCTCGTAGCCCCTTGAGGATGAGATGAAATTGTTATCATAAAAATGAACATTAGCGATTCATTTATGATACTTATATACATTTGTTTAATGTCTCATTTTGTTTTCGAAATTCCAATAAGCAAAATATCCCTAAAACCTGTATTGCAAATATTTTATTTGGTACGTAGCCGAAATAAATGTGACTACGTAACTACTTTCTCTTGCTGATCACACATAATCAAACTGTTAAAAAGTATTAAATAGTTAACAGTTAACGTTATCATAAACATTGTACATAATTTTCTTCATTTTAATTCATTTTTTTTTCTTCTGTTTCAGTGACCGAAAACGCAGTTTAATAAGCCCAGAATAACGAGACGTGAGGTTTTGAGAAATTCGTTAAATTCCAAACATCAAGTTTATTCAATAACTGAAATTTCATTCTCTAACCATCACTGTTTTGTTTCTTAATAAATAGAGTTTAAACAATTGCACTTAATTTTTATCGCTAAGAAGGACAATCTACCAATCGAAAGACACATCGTAAGCCCGAATCCACGATTTGTTAATCTTTTGCATCGTCACTGACACGACAGAAGTATTTCTCAATGAGAATTTTTCAATTGAATTCGCGAGAAATGGCTTTCACCAGTGACTCAGTCTCAATACTAACTAAACTTACAAAATACGGTGAGCAATAATTTCAGTTATTTACACATATTATGTTACAGACGTAAATAGTGTAGAGACATTTTTTTCAAATTTTCACGACTACGAAATAGATGATGATTTTTTATAATTATCATTAAAATCACACAATCCTTGTCATTCTATTTGTTCAATCCTCCAAAGGATTGTTTTTTTTCAATAACGCAGCCTCTCGAATTGTTTCGATAATTGAATAGGCTACCCTGTTTCGTTAAACTCTGTCAATGATTATTTATCCCATTGTTAATTTAATGCCACACAATCTCATCACTTCAGCATTATTATGTCCATCGAATCGAACTCGAATGATTATCCCACAGTATTAATCCCATTTCAGAGAGTTCTATTCAAATTTTATTCATAATAATAATATCACAACGATTAAAAAAAGTGGTGAAATTGTGTTTCTCATAATTTAAATTCATCGATGTGATAGTCAATTCATCGAGGGCTCCGTATCTATTCTATCATTAATAAATATTGTTTTCACAATTCAAGTGAATGTTGAAAATATTTTACATTTTGGCGAGTTGAAGAAATCATAATAAAAAAATCTCATTTATGCTGCACATGAATAATGATATTTAAATGGTAAAAAACAAAAAGAAAAATCACATTAAAAATTTGTCACTCCATAATATTTTCCCTCATTATTTAGTATACATATAGTACAGAAGCCCTTTCCACTCAGTAGAGAACGTGGCTCATTTCAATAAAATTATCTTTAGTGCCATCAAACTATAGGCTCTATGTTCATATTGACAACAGATTTTGTAATATAATATTCACATAATTCTAAATGACTTTTATCTATCTACGTTACGACGACAAACGAACACAGTCAAACTCTCTGTCTCGTTTATTCTCGTTTGCAATTTGAAATAGTTCACGAAAGGAAATGCCCGTATTCTTTAAATAATTTCAGGCCAATGGAAACTTATTCTCTTATACTCTTTGTATTAATAATAAATTGAGTAGTTTTTCAGCCCAAATCCGGGCATATTGACATTGATTTAAACATCAAAGTTTTCACGTAGAAATTTTCTTCAGTCATCTCCATCAGGATCGAGATAAAGTTGAAAATGAAGAAACTCAACTAATGGAATAGTTGAATGTCCCCAGGCAATTCTCAACGGTGCAATTTACACTAACAATATCATCATCAGAAACAACCATCGAATAAAGAATGAAATTGTAGAATTAATTCATTTGTTTGCCTGAGTCGAAAAAAGGGCAGTGAATGTAGGTTTTAATACTTAATCCGATTTTCTAGAGTTTAGTAAGTCGAAGATTGTCAATATCGAGTGGTATTTATCAGGAATGATAATTGTATGGCATCCACTCATAAAGTTTTCCTTATTTTTCAATTAATTCGAATGAAGGATGAATCGTTGTCAAACGAAAATTGAATCGTAGTCACATCCTCGTAATTTCTTACCCCAACTCTGGCACTTATTTTCATAAATACGACTTGTTGATTTTTTGACCTTGTGTTCAGAGATATGTAAGACAGATTCACAAGATATTCCCCCAAACCTCATACTTACAAGCATGAGTTTTAATCTTTGGGACTCATGTTCCTGGTGCTTACCAAGGTCAGGAAGTTTTGTGATTATTTTTGGTTTTCGTTTGTGCCGAAAGTCATTAGCTGCAGTTGAGTGTTCCATTTGAGTCACGTTAAAGCTCTCTTTTGGTGTTCTATTTCGTTTTCTTAGTTCATTTTCAAGGCGACGTTGCGCATTTAATTTTTCCTTAATGAGTCTACGATGGTTATCGCTCGCAATTCGCAACTGTTGTAGTACGTTGTTAATCCGCTCGAATGTGTTACTATTACATTGATACGGAAGCCGTTCAAGTTCCACTGTTAATGGGGAATATTCAAAATTCAGAGGCTTTGAAATTTCACTGATTCGGGATGACGAGGATAGGGATGTATTCCAGGTTGAATATGTCTTTGGAGAACCGGCAATATCATGAGCAAGGCTGTCATTGCAATAGTAATCTCGTCATGGGAGATTCTACTTGAAATCCGGATCTCATACATGCGTTGCTAGTGTACCCGTACCAGATGCACGTTTGACTGTTGCTACACCACCATTTGGTCCCCCGGTTATATAATGCGCTGATAGAGGCGTCTGGAATTAATTTTTTCATGCATGGTTACTAATCTGCTTAATATTTGAAATTAAATTGAGTCTTTGATGATTTAGAAGAAAATTTACATTGAAAATTTTATGCTTTCCAGTACAATTCGATAGATATGTTTGATGAGGAAGGCTTGGAAAAATAAAAAATTAAGAGAGAAAAATTTTCCACTTAATTCGGGAGTAAATATCTCGTCTTCAAGGTTGAGTACTTAGCGCTGTTAAAAGTTCATGAACATTTCCAACTAGTGATGAAGCTTAAATATCAACATTGATTATATTTCTCTTTCGTGAGGGACGTTTTCACCCGTGAGGGTTGGACGTCCCCACACTAGCGCCCAAATACTGGCTTATTCCGACTTTTGCGAAAATGGTCAAATGATCAGAGATGGATCAATTTAATCATTCATACAAAAAATTTTACGCGAAAGAGAAGTAAACAAAAAATTGGAGTTTTTAATTTTTGGTAACTAAAAATTCAACATATATATTTTTAAAATATTTATTTTGGATATGATTACTGATTCTCGCTTCTTAATTATAAAAAAATAGGGAAAATGTAACTAAAAGTTCCTTTGTTAACCTAAAAAAGTCGTCATTTGCAATAGGTCGACTTTATTCTCAAAAATTTCGTATGAATATCAATTAGAATCTGTGAATTTCCACAAAAAGAATGGAAAATGAATGGAGACACCAATGGGAATTTCAGAGAGAAAGTACGCTAGCGAAATCTGAATTACTGAGATATAGTAGAACAAAAGAATAGGTCCATTAAACATAGAGTTGGCATTCATAAATAAAGTTTACACATAATATTTGAAGAAAAAAAAATTTCCCTGACATATTAATCAAATGAATAAAAGTTGTTAAACGAATGAATTGAAGAATGCATCTTCTCCCCCATTTTTTAAACGTTGAATTTTCGGTTACAGAAACTGCAAAACTCTAATTTTGAGCGGCCTAAGACAATTTTGACCTACAGAATCAGATTACTGAAAAAGAATGATGCGAAAAAAGTGTTCATTAAAAACCAAAAAACTCTTTTCTTTTGCATTTCTGTTGCTTTCGACGATCCTCGAAATGCTGTAACCCATGTTTCTCCATGCATTTAGGCGGAAAAATCGAACTTTACCGTGCAGATAAGCCAAAAAATAGTATGTGATAGGTTACACGCGGGTCGGAATTTCCTGTTTTCCTCCGTTGGTGCATAATCTGCTATTATATCCCAATTTAAACAATTAATAATTAATTGAATATTGGTACATTTTCATGGGTAATTTTACTCCATAAATTCTAGATTCTATGAAAATTTAAAGGAAAGAAAAAACAAGTGCACAATTTCTCTTTTTTGTAACTAGGTGGGTCATTTTCGCTAATAAATTAGTTATTTGCCTATGGTGCCTAAATTTTGGATACTCATTTCTAATCCTTATTTCTGCCTTTTAGTACTCTCGTAAATATCAGTTTTGACCTTTATGTCTCACACTTAATTTTGACTCTCGTTACCCACAGTTTTGACCCTCATGACCCTCAGATGGAACCGATTTGAACGATATATTGTTGAGTTATCGTGGGAGCACCGAATTTTAGAAAATGTTTAAATGTTGAAAACTACACCACCGATTAAAATTAAATTTAAAGCAGATAGTAGAGCTCACTGAACTCTACATTTCGTGGAAAAAATGATAAAATATGATTTCTGAGCGCAACATTAGTGATACTTCTCCTAATACAAAAAGCATTATGATTACAATGCTTTAATTCACAAGCAAAAATCGTATAAATATAGAGAGTAAATGTGAAATGTTGGAAATGTGAGATTCCTTCCCGTTTTAAAATGATTGAATAAAGGATGGGTAGATATTTAATTTATTATTCATTCAATTTGAGGAAATTAATCAATATTGTCAGATAATATCCTACAATTCCCCATGACTTTGCCGGGAGGAATATTCAGAAATTTCTAACATCAATGCCGGCGCTTTCTGGGCGACAAAAAATCATTATAGGGGTTAAGAAAATCATTAGATAACGCTTGCATTACCTGTGGTCCGGCACCATTGAGTGTGCTCAGGCTATTCATCCGCATAGCCTGAGTGTAAGGGGGTGGTGCTGGCGTCACTCCCGGTATGGCCGTGTGGGGCGCGTGCCTGAGTTGTTCAGCTGCTGACATTCTGGTGATTAAAAAACACGACGGAGATAAGAAAAGAGCTTTCAACTGATGGAATTTCTCACACAATTCACTAAACTCTTTCGAAAAATGGCTCTGAAAATTCCGGAATTCTTCAACATGATGATGAAAGTATAGATCATTAGTTGTAGCCATATGAGAAAGATATTTCAGCCCTCATTGATCCACTGAAAATTTAATATCTTTTCGACGGGATATATTAAATCCTCCTTACGAATAATTAATAACTCTAGGAAAAATCACCAAGAGGCATTCATTTTCCTTTGACCTTTTCCTCGAAAAGAATTAGTTACTGAGATACGAAAGATTTTATATTTCTAGTGCTGAATTTTGCTGTCTCGTCCCCCCGTTGAACGATTAAAAATTTACATTTTTTGAGGACATCGATATTCCATTCTGTTTACAAAATTGCCACACACCATATTATGAAATTATTGAGAGAATTACAGACAAATTTCATCTTTTCTGGATGATTTAACGTGAAGATTCCGGGTAGTGTGAAAAATGCTGATACTGGTAATCTACAGTTAAGGCTTGAAACTTCCAAGGCTCAGCTTGAATCCAAAGGGGCTTTTATCGAAAAATTCACATAGAAATCGCCGACAGTGTGATTATTAAATGGATTCAATATCATCGAACTTAGCTTTTTTTGGGTATCATTTTCTAATAGGCAGAAAATTGTTCTATGAACTTTGAAAAACACGAATGTTGTCTGATTGACTTGAACACGCTTAACCCTATGGAATATCCCCCAACTCTTGGATTCTGACGACAAATCCAGTCTAAATATTAATGCTCTCATGAAATCTCCATAGACAATTACCTCAGGTATGGATTGCCATATGCAGCTGAGAATCTCGGATCGATTATTGATGTAGTTTGTGGTGTGGTATTTCCCAAATTGGCCGAACTCAGGCCAATTTTCTTCGATGCCAATATACCACTTGAGGGTATACGACTGAGTGATTCCCGCGATGCCCCAATTCCCTGTGTACTGGGTGGCATGTAGTCCCTCGTATAATCGACATAGGGCACATAACCGTTGTTATTACTACCGTCCTGTTAATTTTGATAAATGTGTTAGAATCGTAAATCATTGAATAGTCATTCATTTAGGTGAAATTAATGGGTTTGGGGAAGTTTACCTTAATTTTAGCCTTCTAGCTATATTTATTTATTGTCTTTGCAAAGGAATAATTGAAATGAATGAGGAAAATAATGAATTAATGTCCTATCTTAGTATTTGTAGGATTGAGAAGAATTATCATAGAATTATCATATTTTTCGTCATTACGCCGGAGAACAGTTTTCTGGCGAACATGAGCTGTAAAAGGTTTTTTTCGTCTAAATGACGAATATTATTTTTTGCTTATGATGGAGGATGAATTTCTTTTTAATGGAAAATTTCCTCAGTCTCAAAGATGTCTTGGGCATTTTTTTGCTACAACTATTCATTCCCGAAATGAAGGCACAATTAATGGAGATTACATTCTCCACAACTTGCATTAATAAAATTTTTCTTACTAATAAATGAGTTGCAGTCTTTCACGTTGCTAGTAGTCAGGAAACATTAGGTAGTAAATGGAAATACCACAGTGGTATACAAAATCAATGAGTGAGATTAGTAAATCACATTTGAAGTAGGGCTGTTACTACACTAAGAAAAAAAATTTCTAAGAAATAGAAATTCTATGATCGTTCATCGATTGAATAGTCGCAAAACAAAATGCTATTGTAAGACACAAATATCAATTTGAACTAAACCAAAATTGGATTGTATGAAATCGATTTTGTTATAGTATAGTATATTTTGTTTATTCTATCGAATTTAGACAATACATGTTTTTGCGACAAAATCGATTTCATACAATTCAATTTTGGTTCAGTTCAAACGCTTCGGATTTGGCGCATATAATTTTTTTTCACAATTGCAATGGAAAAATAATCAGTTCAAATGATGAAGAATTGCGTTTGTCGTAAACAAGAAACTGCTCACCGCGAAAGTCTCGCATCAATGAGTATCCAACAATATGTTCCTCATAGACCAAATGAATATTTTATTGCATCTATGAATTCGGCTTTCCCAATAAAAAAACAAAAGAATTCGACTTTCAATCGAACAGATATTCTTTTGCGGGATATCATGACGCTGATAAATTGGGTAATTACATGCTTTATTCGAAGAAGATATCTGATAATACAGACATTGATTTGTATGTACTGAAAAGTAGATAGTAACAAAAGAAACGTTTAGATAACTGATCTCATTCTTTTTCAATCGAAAACATTAAAATTAAATCGATATTTGTGTCTTACAATAGGATTTTCTTTTGCGACTATTCAATCGATGAACGATTTGGAACAATCACAGAATTTTTATTTCTTAGAAATTTTTTTTCTCAGTCTACTTACTGTGTTTTTTGGAGGAAACGAGGGTTCCGTGTAATCGGCGCTGTATCGATAACCAAGTGGATTAGGTACTGGGCCAGCTAGAGCCAAGGCATTTACACCCCTAGTGCTGCCTTCTCCCTCACTGTCTAGAGCGGTCACGCTTTCCGCGTTGCTCACACTAGATCCAGCGCGTATATCTGCCTTGACATCTGAGAGATTGCTACTGCGATCACTTTCACGGTAGCGATCTGCGTTTAAATCTGTCTCTTCTGTCGAAAAATGAGGAGAAAAATTCAGTTGAATAAAAAAAAACAATCATTTACTATATGGAATGCTGAAAGTATTTGATCGTTCAAAAATGATGTCACTACTAAAATATCGCATTGTAAATTACAATAAAGTCTTTCCAACTTGTAATTGTCCTGTTATTTGCAGATATTGGTTCTAGTTCATGATAGTGTAAATTCTGACTTTTCTAGCCGTAATCTGGAGCTTCCAAGAAAAATGCAAATTTGAATTTAAAAAAAATAATTTTTATATGAATATTTTGTATTTTATGAAATGAAAATATTCTATTCATTAGTCATTTTTTTATAAGAGAAAAGTCAACGACTTTGCTCGTCATCAAAAATATTTTTTGTGGTACCTGCCGAGTTCACTTTTCGAAACGGTAGTGGGGGTAATGTGGTTGTTTTTGTGCACGAGTGCGTAAAGTTCAAGAGCGTGCGTAAAGTGAATTTCGAGTGCGTAAAGCGAAGCTTTACGGAGAATTCACTTTACGCACGCCGTGCGGAAAACAACCGCTTTACGCACACTAATCCGTTTCGAAAAGTGCACTTTTGAGGCAGGTATCACAAAATAGTATATTTCGTAACGAGTGCAAAAAACATTTTTTCACGAGTTACGAACAATATTTTTCATCACAATGTGGCGGAAATTGGACTTTTAGGCACGCGGAGCGTGCCGAAAAGTTCACTTTTCGTCACAGCGTGATGAAAAAACAATTATGATTGTCATTTCTTTTATGAGTGAAATTTTAAACTCAGAACATAAAATGCTGCGGAAATTTCCATCCGATCCAAGAACCATCGTGATGCTCATTTTCATATCGCATTTACGTGAGACGATCACTAAATTAGTAAAAAAAAATGTCTGGGTATGTTTGCATTAACAGAATAGCAACTTTATTGTAAAGAGATCCTAATTTTTGGGAAATATTATTTATTTCATTATTTGTAACGGAATTCGTCAAAAGATTCATGCGACTGGCCATCGCTCGAGTGCCTTTAACCTGTGAAAATTATTTGAGTTACTAGCGCCGACCCGGCCGTCTTGATCTTGTGTCTTGTTTATGTAATGGAGAATTTAACGAATTTGAATGACAATTCCATTTTTGTTAAGTCATAACATGACTTTTAATAGTTTCATTTTCATTCGATTTGCATCTTAATTTATAGTTTTGTCTGATGCTGAGATTACACCTGAAGGACTTTTCGCTGAATATAATGAAATTGAAAAATTCATGATAATCTTTCATGTGCTCATTCTGTTTTCAGTCTACTAAATGACTTGAAATATTTACCATGGAATGCTTTACATGTTTAATAATGGTCTTATTTGATAGTGTTCTTTGATATCATCAGAGTATCGAATGAATACAAACTCAGATTTAGCAAATGGAAATAAGAAAAGTACAGAGCAAAAGTAGAAGCCAGGTGTCACTTGATTTTATGAATGGCTGACAATTTTCATACTTCAATTAATTCTCGTTTATTACCATTTTTGTTTGATTTTCATCGCTCACGCTTGTTTTGATTGAAAAATAGTGTCGTTTCGTCTGATCGATTTAAACAGGCATTTCCCTAATTACCGACCGTGATTCTTTTAAAAAATTATAGAATCCTGTGAATACCTTATTTTTAATAATATTCGATGACTTTTCATTTATTTGTCATTTCGTGTAATAATTGAAGAAATTATTCATTTTTGTCTCCTTGAATTTTCCGTCCCTGAATGTTTGTTAAAGGTCTTTTGGGGCACTTTTGTTTCCTCCATTTTTTTTACTTTCTTCATCCGATTAATTAAATTTTTCCCTCTAGTTCTAGTTGAATTTCTACACCTTTCGATTATTGTTTTTTTTACAGGCTCGATTATGTTTTCCTCGCTCAACTATAAATATTCAATTCAGTTGTTTCTGAGGATTTCGGAATTCTAGGATAAAAATATTTGGGAGTTTCATGTAGATATTTGAATTTTTCGTTTTAAAATTCCTAGATTCTATTTGAAATCATCCTCATGAAAAAAAAATTGAATCTCCACCAGTGCCAAATTGAAGAAAACCAAATGATGAGTCATCTCAGGCATATAACTATATAACTATTTGATGACATATAACTATTTGAGGATTCTAGGTCAAAAATTTTGGCTATTTATTCTCTCCCCATGCCAAGTATTTTTTCCAAGTTTACTGGAAGATGGATTGAATGAAAAAATTATGATTTATAATACACGGAGAGGAAAGCTGGATAAAAATTACCATGAAAATCGTGGCGAAGTTTACTGTACGGATGGTAATCGTGGAGCAAAATGTGATTCGATGAAAAAATACCTGTTTGTGGAGGATATTTTATAATTCGTTCAGTAAAAAAATTATATGTATGGATGCAAAAATTATCCTCCTGTACAGTAAAATTTCCCACACCGATAGGGTATTTTTCCTTCCGAACGGAAGTTTTATAATCGCTGAAATCTAAGTTTCCATTTTTTTGTGTGACGGTAACTAAATAATGTGATTTTTAGATAGTGTCTGTATGTATGTGTGTATATATGGATGCATGTGGTTCTTTTTCTTAATTTTTTTCCTCGAAATTTTCTTACAAGGAATGAATCGAATTTCATAAGTTTTTTCATGGTCACAGACTTTAATAAGCTCTATTCATTGACACCAATTAAAATTTATCTTTCATACAGATTCCGAAAAATTTATATTTTTCAAAAAATGTATTTTTCAACGATTACTCAAAAAATTGTCATCAGAATGGAATTGGTTATGGCTCAAAAAATTGATAACGATACTCTCATCATTCTATCAGAATATGATGGGTGTCGCGCAATTCATTGTTGAGTCACAGCAGATTGTTTATCCGATTTGAAGGAGAAAATCAGTCAGTGTGATTTAAAGAATCATCAGGGATATCAATTAAATCAGGATTTCAAAAGTGTATGTCAATGTCTTCAAAATCAAGTGGAGTAATAGTGAGGACTGCATCATTGCTTATCAAGTTTCGTAATACCGTCATGAGCTTATTATATAAAAATCTCTATCTCTATTAAACTCAGGTACCAGTCTATTACGTTGAACCCTTATCCATATTGATTCATTGTTCCGACTAACTTCTGACAGAACATACAGAATATACATCCTGAATTAACCCTGATTAAATCCCCGCCATACACTAATTAAACCTTGATTGAACCTTGATTAAACCTGGACTGAAAACGAATTTGAGTCGTGAGTGGGTCTGAATGTAAAATTATTTGATAGAAGGAAATAATACACAAAATTTTGATGACATTTCAGTTAATGATAGTACTATGACATGAAAAAATAGAAGAAGAGAATAGTGAAATAAGAATTTCAAAAAAGAAAACCCATTCAGAAGTAAACTGCTAATTTTTTAGCAATAATGACTATACTTGTTTATAAAAAAGTACCATTGTCCACTTGTTTTTCTTGCACTCATCTGAAGGTCATGGGGACGAATAGAAGTGGAGTTTTACCAAACGCGTTTGGTAAAAATTATGTTCCTGTTACAGAAAAACTATACGAAACATTGAGCAATCATTCAGGCTCAGTGGGATTATTTTTGATGGAATGCAAGGTAAATTTTACAGTTTCAGCACAAATTACCATCACATTGCGTAAATTTTCCCCGGCCAACGGTGAAAAATTCATTATTCGTCTCGCACTTTTTCCCCCGACATAGGATGAAAAAGTACTGAAAATCGAGTTTGCTCCAAAATTACTCAACATGTTTGGTAATTTTTCTATAACAAATTTCTCCGTGTAGAAAGCCTCATTCATCTAGTTTTATAACCTATTGTGTGTTTCATATCATTGAAAGCAAGGTTATGAAGATGATCATTTATTCGAAACTAATTCCATTAATTCTGTTGAAAGAAATAAAGGAAATTTCATAATCTTGCTAATGTTAATTATTATAAAGAAATGCAACGATGACTCCCAAAAAAAGATCGATGCACTTCATGGCAGAATTATTCATTGAAATTGAATTCAATGATTTTACTCAACCCCACTTACCTTGTTGGCTAAAAATTTTGGCTGTAATGTTTATATTTTCAAAGGAAGCAGACATTCATTCATATTTTTTTTCCAAAAATTTCTCTCGTTTTTCATTTATTTTCCTATTTTGAAACGACACAACGTTTGTTTACGCAGTTTATGATACCACATAAATACGCGTGAATCGAGTGTCGCATATGTGGATTGCCCACATTTGGCATTTGTGGTTACAACGATTCAGATTCCATGTTTGATATATCGAAACTCTGTGGTTTATCGATGTGTTTATCGACATTGTGATTCGATGTCATGTCTTCTTCACATGGGGAATGGGGAATGCCACTTTCGATTAATCGCTGTTTTTCGATTAATCGATGTCAATGTGAATTCGAGAAATGTCATGTCCTTTTTAGATATTTGAATATTTGAAGTTATAAAAAGAGTATACTTCAAGACAAGTGCCATGCGGTTTTCTTATTCGTGTAGGATTCGTGTTCGAACCGACGGCTGCCGACGGCGAGGAATCACGCGAGTGAAAAACTCCATCTAGTGATTTTCACTTTTACGAGTTCGAGAAAGACCAATGCCAATCCCCGGACGAGGAAAAGTGAAAAGCATTACAAGAAAAAATTATCAGGACCCACAGAAAAACTAATTCATTCACCAAATTCATTTTAATTGAATTCATTCCGGTAAGCATTAGATTTCACAAGCTTTTACGATTATATTCACGTTGCATTAATCCCGAAGTCACAGTTTTGGCCCTTGATGCATGAACATCTGTTTTCTCTAAAAATCGCTTATCGTCGAATCCAGTGAGTTTGAATGAATTTTGTTAAATACATTTCAAAATGATGAAGGTTATAAGTAAGGTATATTAGTATTTTCTTCCATTCATATATTGTTCAAAAAGCATTCTCTCTCTCGTTAATACTTCTTCTTCCTCTCACAAATACTCCAATAGTCTTTCAGTTGATCAAACCGGGAGCATTCATTGGTTCATTGAAATTGTGAAGACAACACTCCCCTACAACCAAGTTAGATTTTTTGGATTGTTAAGTAGTACACTTCTTTGAAAGTCTCGGAGAAAATAACCTGATTTGACCATTATCGAATAGTTGAATAAATATTGGTTTACAGTGAAGAAAGATTTTTCAACTATTATTAGCGGATAATCTTTTGCCTTTGTTTTAATTTCTTTAATCCATAAAGAATATAAATGAAACAGCCAATGAAACGATAAAACTCAAGCGACGAAGTAGTTCACCTCATTTCACCATATCAATATGGAAATTGTTGATGACGTATTTTTATCATAGGAGAAAAAATACTTCCTGACTTTTTGAAAATCATTGCATGTTTAAGTCGAAAACTATATGATAGAGAAAAATATCTTTGTTATGTGAATATTTTTTATGTTTGTTTCTAGGTAATATTGGTTGAGGAAACCCAATAGGAATTTGTAATCCAGTCCCTAAACTTATATCTAATAAAATGGAAAAAAAATAGAACTGTTACTTACGATACTTACGCAAGTCGTTCTCTGGAGTCTGAGCTGATCTGGTTCGTGGTTGCTTAATACGATCACGACAGTGCAAAATCAGAACCACAATGATGCCAATGAGGATCAGACAAACCACCAGTCCAACAATTATCAGGATGAGTTGCCAATCGACTGGAATCAACGCTGAGCGTCATGTCTGGTTTAATTTCATGTTTTTGACTCAAGAGAAAATTATGAATAATTAACCTAAAATCATTTCCCAGAATATATTCTACAGAACCCTCCACAGTAGAAAAATGTCAAAGGCTTGACGATTGAAATTAAAGAAGTTTCTGACACGGTCTATATATAAAGCCACATTCGCCAGGTAATGCTTTTATCGCCGTGTGATATACGCTATTTTATGGCGTTGGGCCCGAAAATCGCGATCTAACCGAGCGAAGCGAGGTTAGAATCGCGGTTTATCGGGCCTAATGACATAAAAAATTGAACATCACGTTCAGTAGTATTTTTAATAGATTGAAATTCGAGAAAATTTTATTTCCTAATTCCGGAAACTTTAACTATAGTTGTAAAGAGGATTAATTTTTTAGTTTCATCAATTTCTCATTAATTTGATTGTTTCCACTGACTGATGAATGCTCTCAAATATTCCAAAAGCATTGTCAACATTCTGATGATAAAACCCTAATGAAGTGGAACTTGATTTCCTTATGAAGCTAATTCCTCAATTGATTTGTTATGATTAATAAATCATGGTAACAATTTAGTTTTATTCGTATCCAACCAAATCAATCATTAAACTTGCTTCCCATTCCACTAAGCGGATTATTCAACCTACAATCAACCATTTCCGACTCGATAGACTGCATAAAGTATTGAATTTCAATTAACTATGAAATTATAATTTAACACAGCATAGAATAGTTATTGGAGTAATTAAATTCTGCGATAATCGAAATGTTTCTGTCATCTAAACCCGCCCTTACATATAATAAAGAATAAATTACTCCATCTGAGCCCTGTAAATTCAGCTTACCATGAGTCGTAAGTTTAATAATGACTGAGTCTGTTCCAAAACTATTGGTAACAGTGCAGTTGTAATCCCCAAAGTACGTCGATATAGGTTCCAAAAGTGTAACAGTGCTGACAACTCTCTCTGGTGTATACTCCTCCTGTACGTAGAACGGTGTATTGTTTGATGAGAAATTTAGCTCACGACCAGCGAAACTCCACACAACGGAATCAGCTTTTGGCACTGATATTGCAGTACATTTGACCTGGAAAGGTCCCAGAAAAAAACAGAAAAAAAGTAAAAGACGTGAAATGACAAAATCATTATCAAATGCGGGTTGTATAACTGGTTATCGACGTTAACGATCCAGATAACCCTTTGTTCCTGTCCTCTCATTCCTCCGGTTCTGTTCTGTTTCGCTTTTCCACTCTGATACAACTGGCAGCAGAGATGGGTTAAAATTGAGACTAAAATTGTTCAGTTTCATATATTTACGTTTTCTATGTATACGTGCCACTGGGTTTTGTAAACCTCTGAGTTGGAAAACCGACACATAAAATGTTGGTGAATTCTGAAACGAGTGGCCTAGTTTGCCCAGTGTCCAGTCACATTTTACGGTGAATCTTTGAACGTAGATATAACGCTCTGAGTCGAAAAGGAAGGTAAAAAAAAGAATGATAAAAAAAAAGGAATATGGAAAAGATTGTCACAAGGATCGATTCTCCCTTCTTCTATCTACTTTTCCATTTTGATTTGTTTCGTTGTTTCATTTCCTCCTTTTACGATTATTCCTTCACAGAATGGAAGAAAAAGGAACAGTTTGATATGAAATACCGGAGCGTGGATTCATTGTTTATTTTACCTTGACTACACCCTCATCTGGCACATACTGGGTCCTTTGTGATACAATACTCGGTGGTGCACGAATGAAGATGTTGGCGTATCCAGTTAATTCTGGAAATCCAGCCACATGTGCTTTGCAGTAGTAACGTCCAGATGTATCGGGACTTACTGCAACACTTATATTTGGACTGGTTGCTACTATTCTGTCTGAATCCTCATGAATCCAGAGGATTTCTGGCGTTGGATTACCATCCACATCGCATTGAAGAATCTCGGTTGCACCGTAATGGGTTTCCACGGATCCTGGCGGATGACGAAATTGGGGACCATCTAAAATGAAGTGGAAATATTAATTATTGCTTCCGAATGAACGCTTTGTAATCGTTCAAATTTAAATTTTTGATTTTTGTTGTTGATGTTTTTGTTTGATTTTCTTTATGAAAAGAAAAAAAATGAAAATAAGTTGGAAAATTTTCGCCGAGGAAATCTTATGAAAAATATCTCAATAGAATAAGTTGTATAGAAACATTGAATTCCATTGACTTTTTCTATGGTATATTTTCTGTCGACCATTTCCATAGAATCAGCCAAAAACGAACAGAAATTTCAATATAAAATGGGTTTTTCTATTAAATTTCTTCGTACGTAATATGAAGACAAGAGCAATTTCCCACTTGTTTTCAATTGAATTACTAATGACGTGCTGAAACGAGACGTAATCAGGGAGCTTTATATTGTGACTAGCGTATGGGAGGTACAGTATATGTTCTGCCTACAGTATATGGTGGTATGGCTCATTTTTCATAAATGCATATTATGAACTCCATTTAGATATAAGGAAAAATTTAAATCTCAATCTATATTCGTGTCCGAAAATAAGTTTATGTTTAAATCCAGTGTTGGATAAGACCGAAATGTTTTTCTTCTATCCTACCGATGGCCCATGTGACTGCCAGGAAAACGAAGAAAGAAACCCTCCGTGGAACTTTAATTTACTCCAATCAATTTGCCAATTTCAAAAAGAAAAGAAAAAGAATATATTCCAATGTTTCCCCACGTCGCCGTCGGAAAATTAAAAAAAAATATAAGGGGTATTCTAAGTGAACTCAACCAGCTCAAGACCCTTACTATCGTCAATCACGTTATCGATATTTTTGGGGTTGTAGGTGATCCGAGAAGACTCCTCAATTTGTTTTTAGATTTTTTAATACAACCTGTGACCCACTTATGATTTTTCCAATGTCTTTCCTTCAAATGATTTCATTTTCCTTCAAAATGTGCGCATTTTCTCACATTTTCCATCTAGATGCATAGAAAATTTTTTTAACCCATTATTCTGTCAACATCCTTAGGAAAACCTTAAACAAGTAGGTGACTGCAGCCATGCGGCTGTACATATTCTACTGAGTAGGACGTCTATTCTTTTCTCGCCATCAATATATTGATTGCGGGCTTCCGAATGGATGCGTTTATATCTTGAATATCTCGATTTTTACTCAAGTTAGAGCGCGAACAAGGAGTTCAAGTCAAAAACAGAAAAATCCAAATATCTCAAAAACTTTGTATGAACGGATATATATGTTTTAATTGATTTAGATAGAGGACATCATGCCGAATATTTTGAAGAAAAAATTATTGAAACCGGTTGGGTATTTTTTGAGATATTTGTGAAAAAAGGTTAAAAAACGAATGGCTATTGCTCAAAAACTAATGGACGGATGAAGCTGAAGTTTGGCATGGAGTTAGTCTCAAGTTATACCAATTAACTGAAAAAATTTCAAATTTTTTGGAATGATTTTTTCTGTTTAATTATCAAATTTACGAAAAAATGATCACCGACTGGACAGTGTCACCCACAGACATGGTCTCCAAACTTCGTATTTTTACGTTCCAGACCATTCTGCATCATTTCCAAGCAGAATTAAAAAATGTGAAAAACAAACGATTGCAATGCTTCCATTCGGAAGCAAAAAATGGCTCGTTTTCAATGTTAGATCACCTTTGCTTCTGAATGGAAGCCTTGTAATCGATGATTTTTACGATCTCGTAATTTTGCTTGGAAATGATGTAGAATGTCATAAAACGTGAAAATATGTTTTTAGAAAATGTATGTATGTATGTCAGAACGTGTATGCCAATTTTTCGGAAATTTTTTATAAATCCCCCCGAAAAAAGGACTGAAGTTTGAGATAAAAATCTGAAATTTTGTCGCATAATTGGTATTACTTTGGAGCATTTGTGGGCGTAAGTTCAGCTTAAGGGTATTATGGCGGGGTCCAAGCTGGAAACAAAAGCAGAGAATTCAATGTAAATTGCTGAACAGATTATTCGATCCATTTGAAAGCCGTGTGCAAAATGTCAAGACCCCTACTTAAACAATAATGGAATAATTTTTGAAGTTGCTACTTATACACGCAATTGAATGGGGCATCGGTAATTTTTGTGAATTTCCTGCGTTATCGATACACGGAGAAAAAAATCTCTCGAAAATTAGTGTACCTTCCCACTAACGCACGGGCCGTACCGAATGGGGCACAAATAAATAGAGAACACTCTACACAAATTAGAATTACTCTCTCCAAAATTTCGTGTCCTGCACCCCACTTTTTTCCGCTCATTAGAAACTAGTCTAAGGAATCGCATTTTTATGGAACTAAAGACGAAAAACTGGCGGGCCCCTCTCCAAATTTTAGTGTGCCACTCACTAAATTTTCGCCTGTGCTCCTTTACTAAGTGGTGACCTCTGTGCTTTGAAGAATGAATGAGCCTCGTACGCACGTAGACTATCGTATGGCGTTTAGTGGATTGGCACACTAATTTTTGGATCCCCGGGCGCACGACTTTGTGGTGCGCGCCTACTATTTTTTAACTTGTCCCCCGAATAATAGGAGTGTTACATTTCGATTACCAGCGTACCCCCTGACACGTCCCGGCGTCGGTGGGTAGCACACTAATTTTTGACGAGACCTTCAACAAGATTGTCGTGGATTTTTCTCTCCGTATATATCAATAACGTAGGAAAAGCACTAAAATTACCGATGCCCCATTCAACCGCGTGTATAAGTAGCAACTTCAAAAATTATTCCCATTATTATTGTTTAAGGAACTTCCGCAGTAAGTATACTTGGTGAAAATTTCGAAATGGTATAAAGACGCAATATTTGGATCATATGTTGTTGAGCACATTCAAAAACTATTCCCAAAATTTCAAGTACCTTGTCCACCCCATTTTCGAGATATACATCGTCAAAAATGAAAAAAAACACAAAAATTGAATGTTTGGCGATGCATATCTCGAAAATGGGGAGAACCAGGGACTTGAAATTTTGGGAATATCTTTTTAATATGGTCAACAACATATGATCCAAATATTGCGTCTTTATACCATTTCGAAATTTTCACCAAGTATACTTACTGCGGAAGTACCTTAAGTAGGGATCTTGATATTTTGCACACGGCTTTCAAATGGATCGAATAATCTGTTCAGCAATTTTCATTGATTTCTCTGCTTTTTTTCCAGCTATGGACCCCGCCATAATACCCTTAATCGGCCCAGTAGTTTCCGAGATATAGCCATTTCTCAAAAATCTTTTTTCCTTAATCTTNCATTTCGAAATTTTCACCAAGTATACTTACTGCGGAAGTACCTTAAGTAGGGATCTTGATATTTTGCACACGGCTTTCAAATGGATCGAATAATCTGTTCAGCAATTTTCATTGATTTCTCTGCTTTTTTTCCAGCTATGGACCCCGCCATAATACCCTTAATCGGCCCAGTAGTTTCCGAGATATAGCCATTTCTCAAAAATCTTTTTTCCTTAATCTTTCATAAACTACGTGACCGAATTGAAGTTTTTTGACGGGAAAGTATTCCTTATGATAGTATCTATCGAATCAAATGAAAATATTGCTACGTAACTGGGATCAGTTCAGTCATAATCGGCATTTTTCATTTTTACTAGGAAATCGTTGTGGAAACTATAACTCGCTGAAAATTCAAGATAGGAAGTTGAAATTTGATAGGATTGTAGCTCTTATGATACTACAGAACTGTATTATTCACGAGCTGAATCTGATGAGTAGTTTAGAAGATATTCAAATTTTGGTGAAAAACTGTTATGTTTAATATCTCCTCAACTACTGGGCCGAATCACTTTTTTTTCAAAATATTTGTCACGATATCTTCTATTAAGATCAATCAAAATATGTATACCCGCCCATACAAAGTTTTCGAGATATCAGCGTTTTTCTAATTTTTTCATTTTAAAGTTAATGTGGTGTCCATAATACGCGTCAAGCTTGGTTTAGATATCTGAGATTCTGGGTACTAATTTGTATTATGAGCCAACAGTTATGTATAAAATTGTATGTTAATCGATTCAGTACATCCGGGCACAGAACAATTTATCCAAAAATCTTTTTTTCTAAAAAATTACACATCGTCATTTTATCAATGATTTTCGTCTCTATATGACTTAAAAAGTCATAACAACAATTTATGGTATTTTGTATTTAATGAAATGTCATAGCTATGACAGAGGTAGAAGTTAAAATTTGGTAAAATTGTAGCTCTTATGACATTACAGGATGAAATTGTATGGCTCTGACAGAATCAGTGGTCGGTGTGGTTTATTCCCCTTACCAATATGAATAGCTGTTTGAGCAGTTATCATCTGGGAAATTGTACGGATCCATTTGGAAGCTGATTACCAATGGAATTGGTAAAAAAAAAAGTAAATGTCACATGGCTTCTGCCAAAAAGGCTTACAACTCTGCTTGTTTTTTCCTTCAAAAAAATTGAGAAAATTTGAAATATATAACCTGACTAGACCTAACAAATGAATTTCATTGTTTGTTTAGCAGCAGCCGCAACTGGGTACTTCCCTACTCTTGTTATTTCTCTCCATCAACAACAAACTCTGATTATGGTCTTGTGATTCCATCCTTCAAGAATATACGTCTTCATACATTGATATTATATGTTAATAAAATAACTACGTCAAATTTGTTTTGAGTAGTTATCGCTGCATATTCCAAATATTGAGATAATTGTGACGCAATAACATGCCATCAAATAAATCATGTTGTAATCGATGCTGCAATCCATTTGGCCTCAAGAATCACAGAAAGATGGAAGATCTTCGGAAGATTTCAAAAGTGGTTCAGAGCAGATTTATATTGAGGATAGGAGCTACGGTTTGTACACGATGCCGGGATCAATTAAAGTCAAACGGTCCTCCTGTGGCTCGAAAAATAATATTATTACAAATCAGTAGTGATTCCGATAAAACTCTTACTCTAGAAGAAGAGCTCATGAAACATATAGATTCTGGTTGTCTTGATGACAACAAATTGAGTAAGATGATTGAGCTATTTTTTTACATAACTTTTTATGTCAGTGATTGCAACCGGATACATCGTTGTGTTTCAGCATCAGAATCAAGTGGTAGTATGGTACACAGTTCATAACAGTCAAGTGTCTCTGAATTGGGCATTGATGTACGCTTATCACGTATGAAAAAATCGTATAGAAATTTTCTATACGGATTGCGTATAGAATTCCTATAAGATTTTCGTATATGATATTCGGATATTTCTAGATGGGAATTTTTTATACAAATTATTTCTATACGATTTCTATAGGTTTGATCCTATACGACCCTCTGCCATATGTATTGAAACATTTTGTATAGAGTTGCGACATTTCTCTACGCTTTTCTCTGGAGCGTTTAGACATCTTTCATACGAAAACAAAAATTTATGTAAAAAATTATGTATAGAAAATATTCGTATAGAAATATCCGAATATCATATACGGAAATCTTATAGAATTTTTATACACAATCCGTATAGAAAATTTCTATACTATGTTTTCATACGTGTACCTGCTGTCAACCAGCCATTACAAATATTAACTAAGTCGCTCATCCTTGCTAAAAAATTACAAAACGAGAATTTGGTCGATGATTAACTGGAAAAGTTTTCATTGAACCTAAAAAAACGATTGTCAGAATTTAGGGAATCCTTTTTCTAGTCGCACGAGGATAGTCGTGATTTATGGACAATGATTGATACGTTCAAAGAGAAATTCCTTCAAGAGGATACCACTGGGAAACAAAAATTACAAATATTGACTTTGTTACCATCCAATTGGAGCATAAACAAAATAGTTAAGATAATGGATGCACGCCTAAGACGTTAAGAGCTGACATAGTATGTGCAGAAATTAGATTTTTCCAGGAAAGACATCTTTCATTGATAATTGGATCAACAAATTCGCTCGATAATGAATTATTAGGTAATATCCCTTCGAAGTATTCACAGCGTGTCATTAAAATTCAATGTTGGAATTCCAATATGACAAGGTTCTGCAATCCTGATTCATCTGATTTATAGGATGTCACAACGGACAACAATAGACGACGAATCGAAGCATAATACTCACAAGTTATATCCAGGGTTTCTGTTTCCTCGCTTTTGCCGACCTCGTTGTGAACTTCACATTTTACGATCGCATCGTGTAGCTCCCGGGTGGCATTATGGATTATCATCTCTGTCGTATAGTCACCTATTACCGTTTTCTCGTTTATGTACCACCTATACAGGATAATATTGGAAAACATTGATATGTGTGAATATGTATGAATGGTTTGGGCATAATAAAGAAGTAGGGGCTATTTATTCATTTTGAGAAAAATGCAACTATATTTGACAGGCTTCAATGGATATTCAATATATTACATGGTGAAATGAATCAAATAAATTTATTTTACAATATTATTTGCATCGAATAATAGAAAAGCGCTAAATCGACTTTTTTTGATCCTTCTGACTATTTTCTTCAGTTTAGAGATTTTTGTTCGTAAAATACATGATCATTGGACCGTTGCTCAGGTGTAAACAAAACCACCAACACGAAATTTACGCTTCATTTGGGGAAAAGGTACCTCCAGTAGCTTTAATCGAACGTTACGCGCGCTTTTTATCTTGGTCTCGCCTCTAGTGAGGCATGATAGAGGAAAATAATCTCAAGTGTGCCCAAAAAGTATTTTCTACCGATGACACGAGACGTCGTTTCAGTAGTTCCAGTCGTCCCTTCTACCAGGTCCTATGTTTCCTTTCCCCTTACTGCTCAATTCCCCTACCTCCCTGATTGCCGCCAAGCTGTCGTAGCGATATAGCAGGCACCGATACAACCCCGACGAGTTAGGGATGGACTGAATCTGTTTTTAAGTATTAAAATTTAGAAAATTCAGCTTGATATGGAGAGCTCATATCATGAGCAGCAAGAAGTTATTGCCAAATGAAGATTATATAGATTATAATAGAAGATTAGATAGCTTTGTCGTGCTTTTTTTCAATAGATATTTTGTTTGTAGAAAGAGGTCTATAGATGTTGACTTTTCTATATAACTCATTCTATTGCGATGTTTTCTATATGTACAAATTCTGAAGTCTGAATTTTCCGTATTTCAATGAAATACGTTGATTACTTACTTCAGCAGCAAGTGATAGATAATACCAGGGGCATCACAGTTCCTCATAAATAGAAACCAATCCACTTAGATCCAGGACAATTTGACAAGATGAATGTAAGGTTAGCCACACAATTTTTCTCCGAAGAAGTTGGACGGACTCTGTTTTTTTTATTACGTATGGAAAACTCTGGGCTGCCCCGCGATGTTGAAACTACCGGATGGTTTATTTGTCAGGTACACAAATGGTTTGCTACCATCTCAGCCCGTGACAAATCACAGGCTTTAGGTCAGGATCCTGAGAGTTTGAAGTGAATTGAAGGACTAAACGATTTCATTTGAATCATGAACGGATTAAATTTTGAGCCAAATAACGAATGGAAGCCAATTCAACGTGGCGCTATTCTAGTCACTACAACTATCCTTCAGCTTCATAATGATTTAGTAATGACAAACAAATTGGATTATCTATTGCCCTGTCGGATCGGATCCAGTCCATGTGAAAATCTCTTTTCTCAAGCCAGATCTGGAGACATGCATCCACAACCAGTGCGTTTGAGACATAAATTTCGTTTATTAGTAGTTACTATGTTTTTACGAGTCCCTGGGGGATCTTTATACAAAGATGATGATGAGCCATTTTACATTAATTTATTACGAGGGAAGTCTCCTGAATCAAGATTAATTGAAGAGGAATCCAATCATGAGGACGTGAGTTTCAAGGATCTTCCACTGACTAAAATGCAAGACGGCCACATCTCCAAAATTGCATTGCCGCACCCAATTTTCAGTTCCAATTGAAGACTACTGTCTGCAATAGTGTTACAATATCAGCATCGAGCTTCCAAGTTGGTCCCGTCATCAAAACGTATCAAAGAAAGAAATTAATTACTCATCTAGTCATGTAAATATCGTGCACAGTTTTTCAACCCTTACTATGTATGTATGTATGTTTATAAGGGTAGATTTTATTTTTCACACTTTGTTTTGGTTTTTTATATTTTGTTGTATAATCGTTATGTACTTCAAAATTGCTAACACGCCAAAAGAAATTATGCTTGTCGAATGTTTTTCTAATGGAAATTATATTTTTTATTAATTATTATATCGTGAAGAATGGAAAGAGATAAACTATACACGTTTGATTACTGTTATAATATGAAAATATAAAATATTGTAAAAAGAAGTGAATTTCGAGAAACGCATTTGAGAATTTTATTTATTTCTCATTATAATAACTTATTGTATTAACAGAGGTGGGTTTGTAGCCCGACGAGCGGATAGGGTAAGTGGGGCAGTAAGGGGACTCGAGACAGCAACTGAGCAAGGTAGCAGGGAGGGGGAAGTTCGATCGTAGGGCCATCTTACACAATCTCTGAGAAATACTATTTGGGGACCTAGGCTGGAGAACAATGCTTGAGATTACCGTCCTCTATCATACCTTAGCCTCTAGCGGCCGCAAGTGGCGCCATCCTCATTCGAGATTCTCCGATGCTCTCCTTTATATATATGGATAATTTGTAAACATTTAATCCCTCAAGGACGGAGTCCATATACATATATGGACCCAAGCAAAAACGTATGATTCTGTTCAAAACTGGATAATTCCAAAACTATGACAGAAAATCCAATTCCACCAACGGCATTCGAAAGCTGGATAGTGTAGCTTCAATTTTTAATGCATTTTATTTTTCATGCATCAGAATTCATCGAATCTCAGTGATATTAAGCGCACTTTAGGCTTCGTAACAGAAAGGTCCCGTACGCGAGGGGTTAATTTTGTGGAAGTTAAGGTGTTTTTATTTCTTTTTTTAGTTGCATGTCATTATGATTTTCCATGGTAATGTGCGGCAAAGGATAAATTTTCTTGTTTGAAACTTGATTTTCAGCAAACGAACAATCAAATTTGTCTTTATTTTTATGAATAAGTACAAAAAACAGAATAAATTGTAGGATATTTTCAATCAATTTTACGGTACAACGTTCGGTAATTTAAAGTAGCCCTACCCTTTTGGGGTTATATTTCAATTCAAAGATTTTTAAAAACTACAACAAATCGCCTAAAAACTCGGTGTGATTCGGAATCGTAATTTTTTTCCTCATTTAATTGTCGTTCAAGTTTTTCTAAAAGGAAATGTTGAAAATCCATTATTTAACTCAGGGTCTTATGTGAAAAACGCTGAATTTACCACAACTCCGGTTAAAACAAAGATTAAAATTTAATTTTTTTTCCTAAAAACGAGAAAAAAATAATGAAAAATATTGGCACCTGTTACTTATAGTTTATTTTTCATGCATCAGTATTCGTCGAATCTCAGTGATATTAAGCGCACGTTAGGCTTCATAACAGAAAGGTCCCGTACGCGAGGAGTTAATTTTGTGGAAGTTAAGGTGTTTTTATTTCTTTTTTTAGTTGCATGTCATTATGATTTTCCATGATAATGTGCGGCAAAGGATAAATTTTCTTGTTTGAAACTTGATTTTCAGCAAACGAACAATCAAATTTGTCTTTATTTTTATGAATAAGTACAAAAAACAGAATAAATTGTAGGATATTTTCAATCAATTTTACGGTACAACGTTCGGTAATTTAAAGTAGCCCTACCCTTTTGGGATTATATTTCAATTCAAAGATTTTTAAAAACTACAACAAATCGCCTAAAAACTCGGTGTGATTCGGAATCGTAATTTTTTTCCTCATTTAATTGTCGTTCAAGTTTTTCTAAAAGGAAATGTTGAAAATCCATTATTTAACTCAGGGTCTTATGTGAAAAACGCTGAATTTACCACAACTCCGGTTAAAACAAAGATTAAAATCTAATTTTTTTTCCTAAAAACGAGAAAAAAATAATGAAAAATATTGGCACCTGTTGGATAACGATTTATCGTTTTTTTTTATTATTAATAATACTGGCAACAGGAATAGACATGACAACAGTGACCATGTGATGGCGCCCGCTCCGCTCGTCTCCAACTTCCCATATGATCGTACGGCGTTGCCACAGTTATTTGCAAGCTAGTCAATTGAAAAACTGCTTATGTGCACTTTATTTAAAAAAAATTGATATAAGATAATACTTATGCTCATGACCTCTATGATTTATTTTAATAATTTAGAGCTAGAAATACTGATTTTTAGACTGTATTTTTTGTGAAATAGACTCAATGACTCCAGCCGTAGGGGTAAAGCTACTTTAAGCTTCACTTCTTCTGTAATTTTTCGAGCAATTTTTCTCTGCGTAGATTTTTTGATGAATGTAAAAGATTTACGTTATACTTTCACACTCACCTGTACTCCATTTCTGAAGGATTAGCTTCAGCACGACATTTGAATCTTAGTTCTGAGCCCTCAACAATTCGTCCATTTTTAGATAAACCCGAACGGATTTTCAAAGAAACTTTTGGGGCATAACGTACCTAAAAAGATGAATTAAATGAGATTAAATTTTAATGGAGAATAATTCACAGACATGGAAATAATCCGCGAGTCTCGAACATCTGTGGGCTCAATGGAAGACGAGTTTGAGAAGTGTACACTGTACACTTTATGATATTGAACTGGGAAGAATTAAAAAGCGGCTGATTTACTGTTCGCAGTATGAGATATATATGAATTACGTCATGAATTCTAGTGAACTCATAGAGCCAGTTATTATCCAAGTGAAGGAACTACTGCACATGTCAGACATAATGCCTTTTGAAATGTGCATCAATCGTTTCGAACAATTGAACCAAAAACTTTTCAAATTCTTTGGATCCATTCATAAATCGAACATGGTACTAAATGTACAGGACTTACATTTATAGTAAACATATACCGACAATACTCATCAGGGTAAGAGATGGAAAAGTTAAAATTTTCTGTACAAAAATTGGTTGTCTTGAAAATGACAGATTATTTTGCAAGTATCTCTCGAACCAGGAGGATTACATAGAGCAGAACAAGTCCTAATTTGTAGGAATGTGTTACTAATTTGTAAGGAAGTATTGACGTATGACAAAATGGTATAGAAATTCTCTATACGGATTGCGTATCAAAATTCTATAGGATTTGCGTATATGATATTCAGATATTTCTATACGAATTATTTCTATACATAAATTTTTACATAAAGTTTTGTTTTTATACGAAAGATGTCTAAACGCTTCAGAGAAAAACGTAGAGAAATGTCACAACTCCATACGAAATTTTTTTATACATGTGGCATTGGGTCGTATAGGATCGAACTTATAGAAATCGTATGGAAATAATTTGTATAAAAAATATCCGTATAGAAATATCCGACTATCATATACGACAATCCTATAGAAATTCTATACGCAATCCGTATAGAAAATTTCTATACGATTTTTTTATACGTGCGGTCCTAAGATTTAAAAAGTAAAACATGCAAAAATCGAGCGTCTTTGTCACTAAATTCTGGTAAAATGATGGTGTAAATCAAACGGATTTAGGTAATATCATGAACTCTTCAGAAATAAGGATAGATTCGTAAAAATTTATACTTTTTTTTTCTTTTTGTATGCCCAATGATATAACACCATTTTTCTTGTAGTGCACAAACATGAAAAAATGATTTTGCAATTTGATTCCTTCTTGGGAAGATACTCAATAATCAGAGCCTTCAAGTGGCTCTTGGAATCTTTTCCTTTCACAACTTTACCCCTAAATTTAAAATCGCAGGGAAATAGTACACGTCATTCACCCTTTTCGTGGCTTATATTTATTTTACGTTTCCTACCTCTACACGTAATTTAGCATTCTGCGGTGTGCGATCAGCAGCGTTTTGGCTCTGGCACGTGAACGTTGTATTATGATGTTCCTTTCTCGGCATAACTTTCAGTACTGATTTAACAGTGAACAATGGGCCATCCTCGTACTTTTCAATTGACGTCTCAATACCCGAGTGCAAAACATTACCCAGTCCATCAATCCACGTGATCTGCAACATGGAATAAAACATGAGTTTGTTGGGGGCGTAGTTTTTTATCAGAGTCAGACGGTGGGATTTCCGAAGTTTCCAATTATAAAGAACTCAACGGGTGGCTGAATACGATATTTACATGTAGCTTTGTTTTTTGACGGTTGGTATCTAGGTCATTGATTTAGTTGAGTTGATTTATTCACAGAATATAAATCACTTATAATTATTACACCTTGCATTGATCGACACATCATTCTGCAAAGTTTTTTCGTTTGTACTTTCAATTGCTTCAGAAAGTGTACTTTTGGATTTGACGGCTGCCCATGTTTTCAATGATAACATGAAGCACATTTTGTTGTTTTGATCATTGACTGGTGTGAGTATAATACGTTTGTGTAAAAAAATTGGTACTGTTACGTCAGGAGACGTATCGCAAAGTTTTATTCAAAATTAAAAGGAGAATGGACAGTAATTAAGAAATGATTGGATTCTCATCGGAATTAAGTTAAAACGAGTCTCATTTTTGATCGATATTACACGGGAAAATATGAAAAAGACTAAGTAGATGATTGTTTTTTTGATAATATGAGCCAACGGCACCTCCTTACATAGTCAGGCCTCATTATTAGGTAATTCTTTTCGTAAATGGGAAATAGACCATTAAGAATAATAGAACAGTGACAGCAAAATTGAGAATATTCAATTATATATGAGAAGCATATCATGAAGAATATTGGATTTAAAATAAGCCGAGAATTTTGATTATTGAATGAAATTTAAGTATTTTATATGACTCCAAGTACGTTATCACCAGGACGTTCAGGTATCCGTACCAAGGCGTACCTTGGTGCATTGACATTGTGTAATGCCCCCTTCTTAAACAAATACATAAATCCCATATTCATACATTAATTAAGACGAATACAAAGCGAGGTTATAAAAGTGCATCAGTGCACCCCCAAAGTTAGTTCCCGCAGTCCTTCATTCCGGTCAGTGCCGCGTTACATGTACGCAAGCCGCCATGGCCCTGCCTAGCCATCAATATGGCCCCGGCCATGGCTCGGTCATGGGGGCTATGGCCGTTTCCTGGCCTTTTCATGGCCGTTCCATGGCTTTTCATGGCGATTTGGATTCATGGCCGCCGTCTATGAAAGACCACGGCCACAGGGAAAAAAAAATTCGAATACTATTCGAATTTAGAGAGAAAAAATTCCCGCAGCACCCAGCCGGGAATCGAACCCGGGACCTCCCAGTTATGCGCCGGGTACTCTTCTTTTTTTTTTTTGTTTAACCAAGTTTTTTATTAAGTCCTTCTATATACATAATTTACCAAATTTACAACTTAAAAACTAGTCTGAAAAAAAATATTGACATTATTTTCTTTCTTTAAACTTATGGCCACTCAGTGACTCTCGCGCCGGGTACTCTTCCAACTGAGCTACCGGGGACTACGGAACACTTCCCGTGGCCGTGGTCTTTCATGAACGGCCATGGAAAGCGGCCATCAACCCAAATCGCCATGAAAAAACATCGAACGGCCATGGAAAGGCCACGGAACGGTTATACTCCCCCATGACCGGTCCAAGACCAGGCCATGGACGGGGCCACTGATGGCTATGGCCGGGCCATGGCGGCTTGCTTACGTGTAGATTCTCCGCAGTTTCCTTCACGTCTCCAGTTTCGCGATACAGATAGAACAATTAAATAATTCATATTATTATTATTATATTATGTAAATTTTGTAAAAGTGAAAGGTCTAATTGATAACAGATTAACGCATTTATGAAATTTCTGGAACTCGTGAAATGATAGATGAAAAAATACATAAATTAGTGTTTCAAATGGTTGACAAATAAAATAGGGAACCACAGAATTTGATTACATAACGGAAAGTTGCAAAAGAAATGCATAAGTTGAATGGATTTTTTTATTAATACTCGGGAATTCCATTTTTTGGAAATTTGAGTAGTTTCAATAAATTTTTTTTTGAGAATAATTAGAATCTAAAGTTGTGTATGAAATGAGAAGATCGATTTGATCTACACTTGATTTGATATTGAACACTACTGATTTTATAAATGATTTGATTTAATTACTTTTAATAAATTTGAAATTGTGAATTATCAATTAATTTCTAATTTTATTCCAGTAATTCACTTGACTCCAATCCCAAGCGATTTCCGAAAGATAGGCTTCAAGTAGGAGAAATTCTATAAATTGTTATGATCTTGTTAAGATTTATTTTATCGAATCTTGGCAAAATCATGACCGAACAAAGTGGGGGGTCGGCCGAGATCTAAACGGTAAATTGTTGGGATTAAATTGGGAAGAAAAATAGAGAAATTTGCTTTGTGTTATGAAATACAAATTTTTGAAATCATGGTAACAGTAAAATTTTTGAAAACAAAATTTTTTGATGAAATTTAAAGTGAGTAATAAAAGAAAATTTTATGTCAAAAATGTTCAAGTTCTGAGGAAAAAAAATAAGATGAATTTTCTTTGCAACTATTTTATGAATTACTGTTATTCGTTAAAAATGAGAATCTTGAAATTCTATTTTTTTTAAAATAAATAAATAATAATTATAGCAATTTTCAATTATTTTGAGCTAAAATAATATAAATGGACAATAGACCAAAAAATCATAACTGGTGTCAAAATAAATACCTGCTAGATTTGGAAAATTTGAACTTTTTCAATTTCAGAAAAAAATTAATTTTTTTGCAACTATTCTCGGCTAAAACATGGATAAAAAAATGAACAAAAAAATGTGGGATTCGGTGAGGGATAGAAGGGTTTTGTAACGTAAAACACTCGGAATTAACGTATATATCGAATTGAATTTATTCACAGCGAAAGTAACTTACAGTAACTTACACCATGAGAGATGGAACGAGAGTGAGCTCCGGTGACAACGGTATTATGTAGATCATCCGATCGAGGATGTCCGAATTATTACAAATCGTCGTGAGGATGTCTTGCGACAAGGACAGCGATATATCGGCGACACGTGTCACGGGACGAAATTCGGTTGCTAAGCCGAGCTCGAAAACAATACATTGAAATGGTGTCTCTCTATATTTTTTTATATAATAAAAAAAAAGAGGGAAAATTCAGGGGACCCAAAAATTCAGGCGGCGCTTAATATAAGGGTCAGGGACAAGGGTCAGGGACAAGGGTTAGGAACAAGGGTCAAAAACACAAGGGTGATTACCCTGAACCCGAGTGTGATTCTAAGGAAATTTCTAAAAAAATCATGTTTTAGACGTTTTTTACATGGTTTTTTAGGATAAATTAGGATAAATAAAAATGAGAGTCAGAACGAAGGGTCTATTTACATGTAAAGATCGCAAAGTATGCGTAATAGAAAAAAAGCAAGTTGTTTTTCAAAGATATTGATCAAATAATAACAAAAAAAAACCATCATTTCTTCATCATGCTCTGAATCATTCCCAAGTGAAGAATAAAGGAGAGAATAAAAAAAGCACATTTACTCATCCGGAAGCAAAAATGTGATTTCTGTAGCAATTTTAATTTTGCTGTTAATGGAATGGAGAGATTCCATTTGTTCCTTCTTCTGTCTCTATCAACGCCAACTTCATTAAATAAAAACAATCAAAGTGTGAACGTGGGAAGTGCGGTGGAAATTCCTGTCGTTTTTATCGAAAAAATTATTAAAACAGAAAGAAGTGTGGTGTAGGAAAGGTGAGTATTACCATTTATTAAATGAAGTTAAGTTAATGTGAGTATTAATCATTCTTTCTTCTTCTAGGTGGACTCATTTTGAGTGGTGTAAATCTATAACCCCTCTCAAGAGGAATCAAGGATAAATTTGTCGTCTACAAACATCGATTTCTACTAGCGTGTGTCGTGTGTGAGGATTTTTTTGAGTGGTGAGAGATGAGTTGTCTTTCATATATTTTTTTCCGCAATGGATTAGGAGTTTGTTTCCTTAAATGAAGTGGTCTACTCGAATTTATATGGGGAGAATTTCCTTTTTGAGGGAAAATTCAAGGGAATGCCAGGAGTTTCGGGGAATTTGAAGAGAATACAGGGATTTTTGAATAAAGCAATCAAGGATTCTTAAAATACAGAGTTTCTAGCCATTTCGAGAGAATTTTAGTGAAAATTCTATTAATTTCGAGGGAATTCAGAGAATTTCTATAAATTTCGAGAAAATTCAGGGTGTTTCAAGAAAATTCGAGGGGATGCACGGAGTTTATAGCCGTTCCAAGGAATTCATGAAACCATACTAATTTTGAGGAAATACAAGAAATTTGAGAAAATCTCGTATAATTTCAGAGAGTTTCTAGAAAATTGGAAGGGATGTAAGGAGTTTCTAGCCATTTCAAGGGAAATCGCGAAAATTTTATGAATTTCAAATTTTACTATATCAATGAATTCCTTCGAAAATTCCAGGGGATGCAAAGAGTTTCTAGCCATATCAAGGGAATTCGTGAAAATTGCACCAATTTCGAGGGGATTCAAGGAATTTCAACAAATGTCGAGTAAATTCAAGGAGTTTCTAGAAAATTTGAGGGAATGTACGAAGTTTCTACCCATTTCAAGGGCATTCGTGAAAAAATCTGAAGAATTGAGAATTTACAGAATATACAGCGAGTTTCTAGAAATTTCATGAAAATATTATTTTTTCTGTTCTTCTAAATTATGTGGTTGACAAGGTCTGGTGTCTTCACATCTCATACTGCACAATTTGATACAGAGATAAAAATGAAGACTATCGATATCACTTTGCCTTCACGCGCTGAAAATGTTCAAGAAGGAATTCCAAAACGGTATATTGTGAATTCATTTTCTGACCGAAATTTTGAGTGGTTTGAGTGTGTTATGCCCCACAAAGTGGAGCATAATTACTCAATCATTCCGAAAAATGAGCGAACAAATGTAGCACATATTTCAGAATACAAACATAAAATTAAGCAATTGTATACTTACCCAGAATATACGTGCATTATAAAGCGCGTATATTCGCATTAATAAGTAAGCCAGTGGATCATGCATCAGCATTTCCACTGGGCTCAATCGCATAGTGTTATCGTAACACCATACAGATATGAGGCAATGGCCAAGACGTCATAGCCTCTCGTTGTAATAAATACTCGAGAGACTGATGGCTCTGGGCCAGTAACTTAACCGATTCTTATCGCGGTTCACCTGATACCTTCCGTATCAGAATGAACACATTGAATTGTCTTTTTACGCGTTGAGATTAAATAAAGGATATTATTTAGTATTCGTCTCGCAAGTGCTATTTCTTCCGAATTACCGAACCCAACCGCTCGGGACTCTAACAAGTGGATTATTTTATTTCGAGTCAAATCCTATTCTCTTTTGTATTTTCCGTCTGGGTTTTAAAAAAAAAATGGGTTAAGGGCCCCAGATAACTCAAATACCAGTTTATTCTCAGAACTGCTATTTCTGTTGCCCTTAACAGGTTTATTAATTATTTTCGTTTCTCTGTTTTTGTTGTATTAATGATAATGTGTACACCTTTTACTGGCCTTATTTTATTGATTAAAGAAAAAATTTTCCTTCATCAGTGTGAATCCATCCATTCATTCATTATTGGCATTCTGTTGAATTTCTCATAGCCGCTTCTCGGTCGCATTGAGAGGGCGGAGAGGGAGGAGGAGGGGAGGAGCGAGCGTAGCGAGCAGGGGGCGTAGCCCCCTAGTAAAATAAATATAAACGGTGTGACTATTCGCACCAGATATGGGTGATCTACGGGTGAGGTATGGATAATCTACGGGTCGCACGGCAAATCTACGGGGGGCCGGTCGTTTTAGCCTAAACTACGGGGTAAAAATGTCTTCTACGGATTTTTCTACGGGCGAAAAATGACTGCTACCGAATTATCTGAACGGAACCAAATCATCTCGTCAAATCAGCTGGTTGTACATGAACAAATTTGCAGATTTCAAATTGTATAAACGCGTAAATTGAAGTATTATTGTCATTTATAGAATTTTCGATAGATGAGAGATTCGTCGTCGAGTGAGCATATATTGCCTATATGTTTCTACATCATCAAAAATTNGAATTTTCGATATATGAGAGATTCTTCGTCGAGTGAGCATATATTGCCTATATGTTTCTACATCATCAAAAATTCTGAAAAACTTGAGAGCGTTTCCTGATGAGAAAATGTTATTTGTAAACTCCCTCAAATTTTTTGATTGTGTATTTGCGAAGACAAATAAAGGAGTTTATACGGAATCCGAAACAGGTTCCAACCCCTTCAACTCAATATATTAATTTTAGAAAACAAAATTTCATACCCAAATGTTTTGTTGTCTTTTATTCTGTTTGAATTTTCAAATTTTTTTGTCGCCTTACTTGAATATATCTTGACACATTTCATTGAAAAAAAACATGTCTTTCCACAATGTGAACAGTTTTAGGATTCTCAAAAAATGTGAGAATAATC